GCCTTTCGGCCCTCATCCATCAATGTCTCCGGGGCATATCGGCCCAGCTCCAGGAACTTACGGGCATACTCCGACACTGTCATGTTTCCCTAGACCAATTGAACAAACTCCATTTCCTTTAGGTGTCGGATGTGTTTAGGGAGATACTCCGCGTGGAAGGCCGCTAAGAACTACTCCCAAGTAGCTGGTGTAGGCAGGGTGGTCCGCTTGAGCTCCCACCAGCGTACTGCTTCCCCTACCAGCATGTAGGAGGCAATGGCAGCCCTCTGCTCAGAAACTACTCCCAAGGTCTCGAAAGCTCTCTCAGTCTCTGCCAGCCAGTATTGGGCCTCTTCAAAAGAGGATCCCCCTATAAAAGTAGAAGGGTTCAGTCTTTTGTACCTCTCTATGAAGCCGGGGTCGATCAAGGAAGGAGCGGGGTCCCGAGGTAGAAGGACTGGGGCTGGCTGAGGGTGAACTTGGGGGCCCTGTGGTGGCACCTGCTGATGTGGTGGGGGTACTGGAATGTGTTGTGGCGGTGCCTGGTGGTACTGTGGCTGTGGTACCGGGTCGTACCGTGGCTGTGGTGCCGAGTGGTACTGTAGAGGAGCAGGCTCCTGCCGGGGTGGCTCGGGATCAGCCTGCTGTAGCGGGGGCTCAACCTGCGATAGCGGAGGAGGTCCGGGTAACTCCTTTCTCTCCTCTCGCCTTTTCTGGGCAGTTACGAGAGCTTCCACCATCTCAAATAGTCTGTCCAAATCCTCCCGAAGTGAATTATCTTGGGCCGCTCGGTTTAGTGGGGGCCTTCCTCTCCACATTTCCTTGTACCTGCATTCACAAGGAATGGTTGAGTAACGATCTATCGGTGAGTATTTCTCTAAGGCACTATTGTGTAAGGGATGGGTCCAAGGAAACTTGGCTCTGATACCAACTGTAACGGCCCCGAAATTTTAAAATAAAATATGTGTATTAAAAAGGTCAAATGCGGAAGCGTAATAAAAATTTTGATTAACATTTCTTACACTAAAACCAAAAACGTGCTCAAAGTATAAAAGAACAAACTAACTAAAAGAGAAACTCGAAAATAAAAGCTATAAATATAACTACGGAGTCTTCAGGTGTCCCCTTCGCCGTCTTCCTGCGGAACGGGTTCGGGAACAATGTCTTCCTGATCTGAAATGATTAAATAAGGAATAAGCTACACCAGTCCAGTAAAGACATCACACTATCTCACCGCACGGAGGTAAAGGTGGGTAGAAAACACAAAAAGACCAATGGAGAATAATTTACAACAATTTCTTTTATCAATAATAAAATCCTTTACTATCCACTTACCTCGGTGAAGTTCATAAAATAACATACGAAAGCAATAACATTATCATCATCATGAAATCATATGAACTGTATAACATAATACTTATCACGCCTTTTGCATTTTAATCATTACACAACATATTTTTCCTCATTTACCAGCCTACTAGTATCCATGGGGATCCATAGGGGTCCCGCTACCCGTGAACCCTTAACATTTGTAATCAGATTCCAGGGCCGTCCCCATACCCCGTCCGGTATGGGCGCCAAAACTATAAACCTCAATACCACATCCGGTATGAGGGTGAAACGGGCCGTCCCCATACCCCGTCCGGTATTGGCGCCAAAACACATAAAGTCTCCATACCCTGTCCGGTATGAGAGACCACAATCCCGGTAGGGTTCCCTACGGACCCGGTCCGTCCACCATCTCCCAGGATATCTAGTCAGCTGACCACATTATACAATTATCAATTTACATAACCTTTCATTTCCCTTTTCCTCAGTCAGCATCATC